AAGTAATTATCATTAGGTATGGACTTACTGCTATTTTCCTAATTGTTTTCTAGCTGTTTTATCAATGCTTTGCACCTTTCTTCTCTTGCACTCTCCCTCTGTAATCTGATTTTTTTGTAGTGGCAGCCTTAGAATTCTTTCTCTTTCTCTTTTGTGTTTTCTACTATAGGATTTTGCTTTGTGGATACCATGAGGCTTACATGAAACATCATATAAGTCTATTTAAAGTTAATGAGAACTTAAGTTCAAATGCATTCTAAAGCTCTACATTTTTACTATCTCCATCTACCCACACACATTCTATTTTTTTTTCTTTACAGTAAAACCTCGATATAATGGACTAATTTGGGCAAGGGGGGTGTCCATTAGAGCCGAAAGTCTGTTGTATAATAAAGTTTTCCGAATGTGTTAAAAATTGGCAAATTAGTTACTTCACCTATTTTCACTTGTGTGGACACATTTGTGTAATAAAAATTAAGAATGTATGAAAAGTTTAATTTCACAAAAAAGTTTCCTACATGTATTACTATAACTTTAAATTTATACTAAATAGGTCTAGTAAATGTGTGCCTACACCAGTCACTGTGTATAAATAAATGCACACGGTTTTTTTCTCAATGTGAACGCAAGAACGCATGTTGAACGTCAGCTGGCTCACATTAAAAGTGCTGCAGAAAGTCACAATGGGACAACAGAACCAATTACTGCGCACAATGCGGTGTGATCATGCGCGAATCATTCGCTGAACATTATTTGCGAGCAGTGACTCTTGGATTTAAATGTAGACTGTAGTAGCAGATATGTAATATTTATTTATGTAGGCAAAACTACTAGTGTTTTTTCCAACATATGGCCTATTCACTAAAATTTGTTAAAAATAACAGCGAATAACAAAAAAAAATAACCTGTTAATTATAAGCAACTCTTAGTTAAAAGCATTTCAAAATTAACAGGGTGTTAATTTTCACATATGACATACAGACCAGAAATTTTGTCCATTAAGTCATCGGTTTACTGTATTTCCCATCACCATTTATCCCTCCTATACCCTCTTCCACCTCTACCCATCCCCACTCCCTCCCCCTGCAATCCCCACACTGTTGTCCATTAGTTCTTTCTCTTTTATAATTTGCATCTTTTCATCTTGTGGTGTATCTTTTAAGACATCATTGTAGTTAAGTATTTTTACTACTTTTGTCTTTTAACCTTCATAGATTTATGTGATTAACCCACCAACATTACATAAGGTTATTCTGAATTTATGTATTTACCTTTACCAATGAAATTTACTCTCATGGTTTCCTTTATTAATTAGCTCCCTGTCGTTTCTACTTAAAGAAGTCCTAACATTTCTTGTAAGGTTGGTCTAATGGTGGTGAACTCCTTTAGCTTTTCGTTGTCTGGAAAACTCTTTTCCCCTTCGATTCTGAAGGACAGCATTTCCAGGTAGATAATTCTTTGTTGGCAGTTTTTTTTCCCTTTCAGCACTTTAAATATATCATGTCACTTTCCAGCCTGCAAAGTTTCTGCTGAAATATCTGCAAAGTCTTATGTGGAATTCCTTTTATTTAACAGGTTGCTTTCCTTTTGCTTTTAAGATCCTCTCCTTTTCTTTAACTTTTGGCAGTTTAATTGTAACATGTCTTGGTGTGGGCCTCTTTCAGTTCCTCTTATTGGAACTCTTCCCGGATCTGGATGTCTCTGTTCCCTTCTCCAGGTTAGGGAAGCTTTTAGCCATTATTTCTTCAAAGAAGTTCTATGCCCCTTTCTCTTTTTCATCTCCTTGGGGTCCTCCTGTAATGCACATATTGGTCTGCTTAGTGTTACCTTTTTTTCTTTTGTTGCTTTGATTGGATGCGTTCTGCTGCCCTGTCTTAGTTTGCTGGTCCTTTCTTTTGCATCTAGTCTGCTACGGAGCCTGTCTATAGTATTTTTCAGGTCAGTTATTATATCTCTAGCTCTGATTTGTGTGGTACTTTCTTATATTTTCTGTCTCCTTGTTGAAATTCTCTTGGTTCATGCATTGTTCTCCTGACTTTGATGAGCATCTTTATGGCCATTAATTTGGAGTTTTTACCAGGTAAATTACTTATCTCCATTTTGTTAAGCTACTTTTCTGAGGTTTTATCTTGTTCTTTCATTTAACATATTCCTTGTTGGTGTCTATGCATTAGATAAAAAAGCCACCTCTCCCAGTCATGGAGTGCTTTTGTGTGGGGAATGAACCTTATTCAACCTGCCCTAGCTCTTGGTTATCTCTCAAACCTTTGTGATTGTCCAAGTAGCCTTCTTAGTTCTTGTGGCCCCAGTGGTTGAGGGAATGCCAAGATCTGTGTTCCAAATGGGAGGATCTCAGTCAGCACCTCGATTCAGACGAGTGAAAGCCCACAGCTATTAAGATAAGCAAATGGGCCTCCTTCTGGAAAGGTTAAGCATTTCTATCAGCTGCCTGTGTTGAGCCTTGGTGGCAGGTTAAGAACACTCCCTGGGAGTCCTGGGGACCCATGAAAGTAAGCTCTACAATTAAAGGGTGTCCCTTGGAAAGCAGCAGTGAACACCAGAGTACTAAATTTGTACCCAAGGTCCTTTCTGGGAGACACCAGAGACGGTAGTCAGGGCAGAGGGAGAGTACGAAGATGACGCCTGCAAGTCTCTGGGGAGTACTGTACTTGCCCCAGATATATGTTACACTCCAAGCCTGCTCTTGGGCTGTAGCTCTCAACATAAGCAAATAGACCTCTTTCACAGAAAGACTGGATGCATTTCAGTCTGCTGCCTGTGCTGACCACATGGGTTCATGCAATCCCATTTGGAACTATTCCTTAGTTGTGTTGTGGATTCAGGGCCCATTGGCTTTCAAAAGCTAGATGTTTTGGGGGTCTCTTAGGTGGGAGTCTTAAAATGCAGGGTGCCAGCTGTGGAGTCCAAACTGTTCATTCCTCAGGAAGAAGCTGGAAGTTGTGGGGTTTATAGCAAGATTCTGTCTCTCATTTCAATGTGGGTTTTCTCATTCACTTGGCTAGATCCTGGATTTCACTCAGAGGGAACTATTCAGTATGTCACTGTAGATTTGCTGTGCCTGTAGGAGAAAGTAGTTCAGAGGCCTCCTGTGTTGCCATCTGTGGGTCAGGAATGGAAGCATGGTTTAGCTCAGGGGTCCTCAAACTATGGCCCGCGGGCCACATGCAAATACAAATATTGTATTTGTTCCCGTTTTGTTTTTTTACTTCAAAATAAGGTATGTGCAGTGTGCATAGGAATTTGTTCATAGTTTTTTTTTTTAACTATAGTCCGGCCCTCCAACGGTCTGAGGGACAGTGAACTGGCCCCCAGTTTAAAAAGTTTGAGGACCCCTGGTTTAGCTGGTCTTCTGTTCAAGGCCTCACAAGGCTACTGTTGGTTAGAGCTGTAATCTCACCTGAGGTTCAGTCTTCATCCAACCTGTTTGTTGGCAGAATTCTTTTTTTTTTTTCCAAATTTAGTTCAAAGAGGGAGAGGGAGATAGAAACATCAATGATGAGAGAGAATTATTGATCGGCTGCCTTCTGCAAGCCCTCCACCGAGAATCAAGTCAGGGCATGTGCCCTGATCAGGAATCGAACAGTGGTTGCTCTAGTTAGTTATAAACTGAAGATAAAATATAGCGTTACCTGTGGAAGGATTCATTTGCAACTCCGCCACTTCCCAAAGTAGAACACTGTGTTTTTAATAATCCTCCGTAGAGTCTTAGACTGTGGTATCACTGCTACTCACAGATATGCTCAGTGCATGATTATGCATGACCTTTTGCAAAAGTCACTATAAATATTTTATTATACAACTAGAGGGCCCAGTGCACAGATTTGTGCACTGGTGGGCCCCTTGGCCTGGCCTGCAGGGATCTGGTCGAAACCAGCTCTCCAACATACCCTGAGGGGTCCCAGATTGCAAGAGGACGTAGGCCAGGCCAAGGGACCCCACCAGTGCACATCAGGGCTGAGGAGGGACCACGGGAGGTCCCTTACTATATTTTAATCTTTTATTTTTTAATTTAAATTCTTTATTGTTGAAAGTGTTGCATATGTCTCCTTTTTTTCGCCATTGACCTCTCCCCAGCCGCCTCCCTACTGTGTCCTTTGGTTATGCTTATATGCATGCATACGAGTCCTTTGGTTGATCTCTTACACCCCCCCACCCCCCCACCAAGCTCAACAGTTGTTCCATGCTTGTCTGTGGATCTATTTTAATCATTTTGTTGTCCATTATATTCCACAAATGAGATCATGTGATATTTATCTTTCTCCAACTGGCTTATTTCACTTAACATAATGCTCTCCAGGTCCATCCATGCTGTTGCAAATGATAGTGTTCTTTTTTTTACAGCAGCATATTATTCCATTGTGTAGATGTACCACAATTTTTTAATCCACTCATCTGCTGATGGGTTCTTAGGCTGTTTCCAAATCTTAGCTATGATAAATTGTGCTGCTATGAACATAGGGGTGCATATATCCTTTCTGATTGGTGTTTCTGGTTTCTTGGGATATATTCCTAGAAGTGGGATCCCTGGGTCAAATGGGAGTTCCATTTTTAATTTTTTGAGGAAACTCCATACTGTTCTCCACAGTGGCTGCACCAGTCTGCATTCCCACCAGCAGTGCACGAGGGTTCCTCACACCTTTTTAGTCAGTTGCAAGGCCACAACTGAAACACAATGCTGATGACAGACTGAAGATTTCTAACTTGGGAATGTAGAGATCCTGCTCCACATTCCATAAACAAGCAAAAAAACTTTAGTGTGCGTGGCTTTATCGCTAAATGCCAGTGTTCCTGAAACCCTTCTAAAGGCATATGGGCCGTGTTTGTTGTGCTTTCTAGATATGTTCCTGGGAAGACAGCATTTTTCCATAGAAGGCTGTGTTTATACCCTTGATGGACCTTCCCGGGTACAGAAGACAAAAACCAAGGTGACCTTTCCAGGTTGCCCCTTTCAACTTCTACAGAGTGACAAAACAGTAACATATAACACTGCTGTTTATTACACTTCGTATATTTCCTCTTCAAAGTCTTACAGATTATATGTTCTGCATTGTTAATAGTCACCTGTGACATAATTGTAAATATTCAGCTTTTTTGAAGTATGTCCTTTAAAATAAAATTGCTAACTAGATATTTGTAATGTTTCTCTGGATTTGGAGACAAAAGAAGGCAGCTTGAAGTACATTGTGCAGCTCAGATATTAACACTGTTAAAAGTTTGAAATAAGTTTACATAAATCAAGACTATTTAGCCCTGAAATAAAAACAACCAAAACCACTAAAATCAAATATTTGAGAGAATGAAACTAGAAGCTTATAGTCATTATATATATAGTCCTGAGTTGTTACACTGTGTACTATGGAATTCTTGTCACAAAAATTAAATCATTTGATTTCCCCTGAAGACAAAATTATTCAGCATCTTCCCCAAGGTGCTTAGAGCATTCCTTCCCCATATCACACACCACACTCTTCCTACAAGCTTCCTTGCCATCCAAAGCCAATGTAACCACAGGCTAAGCAGCTAACAGAAATGAGTAGTGTAGCCTAACTTTGAAGGTGTCAGATGATGTCTTTGCAGTATGGCTACCAGCATTCTGAGCACTAGAGGTGCCTGCAAGCCTAGGGGACAATCCAAGTATCCACATGCATGATGCCTCCAGCTCTATGACCTCTTCTTCCCTCCCTAAGTGCTACAACACAAGTCATTACCAATAAACCCACCCACTATGGGGGTAGTATAAGAGCCGCTGGCACTTGGGATCTGTGAGGTGAAGTACATTATATTCTGGGAGTTTCAGGCCTTAGACACTCATTCATGTGCATAATTGTACCAGAACTCACTTAGGAAGACACTCCTTATTCATGAACTGCCAGATTTAAAAAGATGGAGGATATAGTAGTTTGTTATAGATAACAAAGTGGCCAACATCCATCCAATGCATCTCCAAAAAAAGCAAGTACGCAGTTTTATGCTGCAAAGATAAAGTGTGGCATCTACTGGCTCCAATAAGGATACAGACCCCTTAGATTCACATCCATACTGCTGTGGAACCCAGCTCCTACCTTGCATTTACCTCGGCCACACACCTCAGAGTCGTGAGGGCTTCAGCTAGGAGTCAAACATCTTGTCATTCTCATATTTTAAAAAAGCACATTTATAATCTCTAATTCTAAAAGCAAAGTTATTCATCTTACTACAAAAATTATGCCAATCATGGGTAGAGCATTTATAATTAAAGTCATGAGCAAGTGAAGGACACTATTCGTTGTTCTGACTGCAAGGATATTAGTCCCTTTGCTGGGGAGCACAGAGCACTTAGGCAGATATGACTGCATATCCAAAAGCAGCAGAAATAGAAGAACATGCGTAAGAAACTCATGCTCAGCCCCCTGGTTAGGAGAGGCAGTCGTCAATCAAGGGAATTTTCACTGAAGCAGAAGTTTCAAGCCAGGCTTGAACAGAGCGGGGCGCGGTTCAAAAGGCAATGTTTTGTTCCCATAATGAACTTAATCTCCACGAAAGACATTTTTCACATGGTAAATACACTTTAAATGTATGTCTAACCGTCCAAACAAGACTCTCCATTCCTTAGAAACAGGAATCAGTCTCCTGATCCTGATTTTACATTCCTTTCCTCACATACCTCTTAGCATTTACTGACAAGATTAAAAGCAGCTGGACACCTAAACTCCAGGCCAGTTCCACAACGTCGGGGCCACTCAGCAAGGACAGTGACAACCCAAAGTTCCAGTAGGGTTTGTGGGCTCCATCACTGAACACAACCATCTCCCAGAGACAAAGTAAACCAAAGCCAGTGTTCACTTTGTCCCACGCCAGAGTAAGCCTGAGACTTACTGATGGGTTGAGACTCAGGAAGGATAGGAATGACCAGCCATCATTTTGCAGCCACGCCCTCTAGTAATAACTAAAAGGCCTTGCCATGAAATTCTATTCACAGCATTCACAGCCATAATGAAGTTGGAAATCAGAGTGCTAACTCTTCAATTGCCAAAGTTATGTTTCACACAACGGGTTAGTAGTAAAATTAACTTCTTTTATCCAATCATTTGCAAATTAGTAAGGAAAGTCATATACCAACATAGTATTTTACTATACAAGATGATAGGCTTAAGAATTTATACATGTATCATATGGGACATTTTTATTCCTAATTTACATTTTGCAATATACTTGACAATGTACAAAAAGAATACCCAGTTCTAGGTGGTGACTATTTTGTATTATGATTTATTTACAAAATTTCACCACGTAATAGTAACTATCTTTAAAAAAAATTCAGGACATTAGAATAAATTGTTAAGCTTACAAAAGCTGCCTTAGTACCACTGTTCTCAGGCATATTATTGTTAAATAAAATCTAATTCCAAAGCCCACATGTAGTTTCTAATTCTGATTATACACAGTCATTTTGAAGCACAATCGAATTAGACGGACAGGGGACAGTGGAAGACCCACACAGTCCTATCAACCTCTATAAGAGGTGTACATCAGCCTACCGGTTGCATCCTGCTAGCTGTACCACCATTTACTGATAATGGGACCACTCAGTCACCCTATTATGGTTCCTTTGGAAAAAATAAGGCATCCTCTAGACCAGCTAGACTGGTCAACAGGGTGAGTAAAAAGTGACTGTCAGTAGTAAAAAACAGTTTCATTTCTTTGAACCTTTTCCTTTTCCTTTTCTGGACTCCTTATCTTTTTCTGATTTTGAAGGCTTTGAAGATTTTGTCTTTTTCTGTTAGGAGGGAAAGATGCAGAAAATAGTTAATAACTGTGTTATGAGTAAATGAAGTAAGTGCATCTCTATAAAAATCTTTACCTACAACTTAATTAGTAAAGAAGAAAGGTTGCAAATATCTATGTATCTTTAACTACTGCTACCCCCAATGAGCTTAATTTCAATAAACTACTTGTAGCCTTTACAAGATAGCCATAAAACTAAAAAGCTATTTAAAATCTAGAACCAACATATGTTTCTCATGAATGCAGTTTCTTGGATTTAGAACATAGATATATTTAGGAAAGACAAAATAAGTAAGACGTAATTTACAAACAGGGTAAAAAGTTACTTTTCTTTCAGTTTCAGATTCGAGAGTCTAAACATGCCCAGTTTGAGGAGAAGGGAGGAGACAACCTCTTATGTCTACACAAGATTAGACAGGAAGAGGAGCTACACTGGTGAAGGCCACTATTCCGACCGCTGCATATACAAAGCCAGAGAGGGCGAGAAAGATACGCACACGATACAGGAGGATACAGACTACATTCCTTTGCTATAGCAAACAGTGGGCTGATACCATAAATGATTCTAACCTATTCCAGCAAAAGACAAGGATGTTTGCTCTGAAAAACTTCTATAGGCAATTCAGTGGCTATAGCAAAACAGAAATAAGGGAGAAATGGTTTCATTGAAAATGATTTTCTTGGTTGTGCTGTGAAAATGTGTGTGTGTGGGTAAAGCACAAACCAATGATCAAAAAAGTAAAAATCTTACTTTTTCTAACAGAGCATATGACCATCAACATGATGGCCTATATTTTGCTTTTTGACTCTTCCACTATTATTAGAAGCTGTTTATAAAAGTGAAACCTAGCCCTGAGTGGTGGCTCAGTTGGTTGAAGTGTCATCCCATACAGCAAAAAGGTTGTGGATTTGATTCCTGGCCAAGGCACATACCTAGGTTTCAGGTTCAATCCGCTGTCGGAGCGCATACAGGAGGCGACCAATCAATGTTTCTCTCACATCGATGTCTCTCTCTCTCTTTTCCCCCCACGCCCCCAAAAATATCAATAAACATATCCTCAGGTGAGGATTTTTTAAAAAGTGAAATCTTTACCTTCTCCACCTTCGACTGTGATGAACAAAAAAACTTAGAAGTATTTTCAGAGCTTACTCTGCTACTTGCTAAACAGGCCCTGGATAATTTCTGAAGGTAAATTATGCAAGGAAAAATAAGCTAGTTTGCGGGCGTATCAGAGCTTCTCTCTGTAGCTTAAAATACTACCTTGATCATAGCATCCGTTTCCACAGCGTCTTGCTCTTTCTCATCAGACTGAGAGTCATCCTCCTGGAACTCCTCACTGTGCTCAGGATCCAGCGCTGGGCCAGTGCTGTGCCTGGGGGCCTTCACTGCCTGGAGCGAGTACGGAGTCAGGTGGGCTTCCCTGTTGTAAGCTCTTGTAAAGGCCGCCTTCACCTAAAGAAAAGAAAAGGAGGGGACTTCTAAAATCTAAGTGCCAGATAATCCTTTTGAACTCTGTAGGCCTAAAGACTTTGAAAGACCCTGGGAGCCCCTTAAAAGTATTTGCAAAATATTTATACACGTGTGTGTGTATATTTATTATATATATATGCATTTTTCTATGGAGAAGGTCCATATTTTTCATATTCTAAATAGAGCCCATGACTCAAAAAGATAATCAGTATTTGGAAACTTTAAGGCAGACCCAAAAAATGACTTTTAAGTCGTCATTTTTACCTAATTCAGTGCTCTCTCTGCAGTTCTACAAGTGATAAAGTTAGTCAGTAATCAGTAAGTCAAAAAAGGCTCACAATAAGGTACAAGTTAAAGTTGGCCTTTATTTACAAAATACTTTTACTAATAGTGGCTAGTTCAATATACTAAATAACTTGAAAAGCCTTCACATTGAGCTTCTACTCATTGCAGAATTAGTCCATGAATGCTAACTGTAGATGTCTCCTGTGATAAGTTAACCACAACCATTGAGCCAGGTCGGAATTCCAGAGAAGGCAAGCCACAGAGAACGTCTTCTAAAACATCACCAAATAAGCAGGCACAAAGTGAGGTATTAGATAGTACATACTCATGTTATGTCACTAGGTTTTTCATGCTCATTATGTGAAGTAGGGGGCCCATTACTACACAACAGGTTATCCAACTGGAACACTGAATCCACCGAACAGGCAGACTAAGGGTAACACTCCTCAGCCAGTTAGCACTTCTTTTCCTCCGTTCCTTCGCCTGGCTCAGCTGCCCACCCTTCCTTATAAGGAATATATTTATATTTGTTCCTCAACTTTCACATCTTGCTTTTCCACTCAGCATAAAGCAAAGATAAACATACAAATTGTAAAGTTAAATCCAGAAGTCTTTTCTTAATATCATATTCAAATAGTATATTTGGAAAGCACAGGCCATAGAAGTAAAAAGCACTGAAAAAACTAAACCTTTTAAAGCACATAAAACACCTCTGAAGTACTCCCAATACAAACCCGGTAATTACAGTGATGGAGAGCCACTGGGTGACAAAATTTACCTTGGGATCCAGCTTGGAGAAGGGACTAGGCTTGCCTCCCCAGCTGCTAATCTCCATGATAGTCTCAAAGTCTTCTTTCATCAAATAATAGGCATCCATAAGGGCAACAACGTCCTGTACTCCTTCTACCCCTTGTGAGGTCAAGGGCTGTATAAGTGCATCCCTTATATGTGATAGATAATCCAAATTTATAGTCCTTTTGCTGGAGTAAGTTCTTAAACCAAAACAAAAGAGACACAGCTGTAGTCAACAGCGAACTACCACCAATTCAAGTCACAGTGTGCACATCAGATGGGAGTTCAACCACTTTCAATAACGCACAACGGGATGCCTGCTATTTCACAGCTGGTGTAGGGAAGCCTGGTGCCGCGCCAGCAGGTCATGTATAGACACCAACACACTCCAAGGGAGTTTGTACTTACCTGCATCAGAGAACGCAAACCACAAATGGAGGTTCTGCTTCCATCCTACTCTTTAAGGCCCAGGCAACAACAGTGCTTCCGTGTGCTCATACTTCTCACAGCCAACGGTTACTCGTTCCCAGTTCCAAATGTGAAAAGCATCCCTAAAAGTCAGGGAGCTTGCCTACCTAAAGTGCCACTACCACTTCCTAAGAAGGGTCTGAAAAACTTTTTGCTCTCTGGATTGTCACACACAAAATTACATATGAAAGCTTCCCTCACATTTCCTAACACTGTTACTCTGAAATTTTTAGTTCTAGAGCAGGGTTTTCACCAAATCTAATAAACTGCCAAGAATGTTCCTGCCTTCTGGCCAGGGAAAGACAGAAAAGCAGTCTCTAACTGGCTGAGAACTAGAATGGTATCACGAAAAGGCTGTTTTTCTTTCTATTTAAACACTGTCGCTTAAAGACAGAAAATAGCTCGGTCTGAGCAAGATGGCGGCATAGGTAAACACCGGAGACTGCTGCCGCAAACAACCACTTCAAAAATACAACTAAAAGACAGGACATCACCCAGAACCACAGGAAGGCTGGCTGAGGAGAGACTCTTCAACTAGAAGGAAAAATAACAGCACACCGAGGCTCAGAGGAGGCGCAGTGTGGAAAAAACTCAGGTGCGGAGGTGCGCGCGCAAAGCGGGCTGGTGGCTGAGAGCGCGGTTGTCGTTTTCGGTCAGGGGGGAGTCTCAGACTCTGAGCTCCAGATACGGGCGAATCGCTGGGGACTCGGACCCAAACGGGAGAAGCGGGAGTGTCTGGCATCAGTTGGAAGGCAGCTTTCCCTCCGAGGTTTGCAGCGGTTCCGGGGGTTCTGAGAAGCAGAGCCTCTGGGAACAGGACTGAGGGCACCATAACGGCTCCCTCCGCCCGCCCTGTTGAGCCCGCCCCGCCCAAGCCCTGCGCAGAGCCATTTGCAGGATCACCTCAGGCAAAGGCTAGATTAGCACCTCCCCAGAGGACAGAAGTTTTCCGCGGCAGACACAGCTGATTCACACAGCCAGTCGGCCTGGTGGTCAAATCCCTCTAGTATTAACTACAACAATCAAGGCTCAACTAGAACAAGACTGCGCACAAAGACCACTAGGGGGTGCACCAAGAAAGCATAAAAAATGCGGAGACAAAAAAACATGACAGAAATGGAGGATATAGAGCTAAAAATCGCAATTTTGAGGGCTTGCAAAAATGTGCTAGAAGCTGTCAATAAACTTGAGGAGAGAGTCACGAAAACTAATGAGACCCTCGATGCTATGATAAAGAACCAACTAGAAATTAAGCATACACGGACTGAAATAAAGAATATTATACAGACACCCAATAGCAGACCAGAGGAGCGCAAGAATCAAGTCAAAGATTTGAAATGCGAAGAAGCAAAAAACACCCAACCGGAAAAGCAAAATGAAAAAAGAATCCGAAAATACGAAGATAGTGTAAGGAGCCTCTGGGACAGCTTCAAGCGTACCAACATCAGAATAATAGGGGTGCCAGAAGATGAGAGACAGCAAGATATTGAAAACCTATTTGAAGAAATAATGGCAGAAAACTTCCCCCACCTGGTGAAAGAAATGGACTTACAGGTCCAAGAAGCGCAGAGAACCCCAAACAAAAGGAATCCAAAGAGGACCACACCAAGACACATCATAATTAAAATGCCAAGAGCAAAAGACAAAGAGAGAATCTTAAAAGCAGCAAGAGAAAGAGACTCAATTACCTACAAGGGAATACCCATACGACTGTCAGCTGATTTCTCAACAGAAACTTTGCAGGCCAGAAGGGAATGGCAAGAAATATTCAAAGTGATGAATACCAAGAACCTACAACCAAGAATACTTTATCCAGCAAAGCTATCATTCAGAATTGAAGGTCAGATAAAGAGCTTCACAGATAAGGAAAAGCTAAAGGAGTTCATCACCACTAAACCAGTATTATACGAAATGCTGAAAGGTATCCTTTAAGAAGAGGAAGAAGAAAAAGGTAAAGATACAAATTGTGAACAACAAACATGCATCTATCAACAAGTGAATCTAAGAACCAAGTGAATAAATAATCTGATGTACAGAATGAACTGGTGATTATAATGAATCAGGGACATAGAAAGGGAATGGACTGACTATTCTTGGGGGGGAAAGGGGAATGGGAGATGCGGGAAGAAACTGGACAAAAATCGTGCACCTATGGATGAGGACAGTGGGTGGGGAGTGAGGGCGGAGGGTGGGGCGGGAACTGGGAGGAGGGGAGTTATGGGGGAAAAAAAAAGAGGAACAAATGTAATCTGAACAATAAAGATTTAATAATAAAAAAAAAAATAAAGACAGAAAATAGATGAACAAAACAGTATTTCCAATGTCGCCAACCTAAATCTTCCAACCCAGCTGCCACCATCCTCAAACCAGGCAACTAAATATCTATGTACACTTCAAACAAGAGACCTCAAAAGCTGTTGACTCCAGGACCCACACTAAAATCAGAAAGGAAATGAAAAATCCTTTTAAAAATTACCCATGTCCCGAGCTGGTCTGGCTCAGTGGATAGAGCGTCAGCCTGTGGACTGAAGGGTCCCAGGTTCGATTCCAGCCAAGGGCACATGCCCGGGTTGTGGGCTCGATCCCCAGTCTGGGGTGTGCAGGAGGCAGCCGATCAATGATTCTCTCTCATCATTGATGTTTCTATCTCTCCCTCTCCCTTCCTCTCTGAAATCAATAAAAATATTTTTTTAAAAAATAATAATAATAAATAAAAATTACCTATGGGTCATGCTCCTCCCTTCAGGCAACTGAATGTCTGAATCACAAGACCCCACACAGTTCCCCTATCAGAAATCTAGAACCTGGTCCACAACTGTTTTATTAACTAGGCAAAGAGTTCAAACTGCTCCCATTTTAATTCACCCGTTTCCTCTGAGTCTGTCTCCTATAATCCAGCATACTTGAAGACAAGTATGAGCCGTAAGCCCAGTGCCCAAGACAATCATCAAACCTTTTCCAAAATTAGTCTTGTAATTTGTTACATCACTGTTACCTTCTAGTAGGATCACATAACATTAAATCTAGTAAAGTCTAAAAGCATCGTCTAAATCAGTGATGGTGAACCTTTTGAGCTCAGCGTGTCAGCATTTTGAAAAACCCTAACTTAACTCTAGTGCTGTGTCACATATAGAAATTTTTTGATATTTGCAACCATATTAAAACAAAGATTTATATTTTTGATATTTATTTTATATATTTAAATGCCATTTAACAAAGAAAAATCAACCAAAAAAATGATTTCGCGTGTCACCTCTGACACGCGTGTCATAGGTTCACCATCACTGGTCTAAATCAAGGGTCCTATCCTCAAAAATCTATTACTTCCCCTGAAATTGTATTTGTACATTAGTGCATTGGGGGGGGGGGGGGGGGGAAAAAAATAGGGCTTCTCAAAGGCATCTATGACCCAAAAAAGATTAAGAGTAATAAAATCATACTTTTCCATTTTTAAAAAAGAGAAACCTGGGCTATAAAAGTTAAGTAGGAACATTTTAATTTACTTTACAAGTTGAGAGGCTCAATACAGATGTGCTTGATGATGACAGTGGCCTATATATGATTCCTTAAGAAACACTTGCTCAGCAATTCTATGTGCTAGGGAGTGAGCCTCAGTTCCTACCCCCAGAAATGTTCTGTCGAACAGGAGAAGGGGGCAGACATCCAAAAGGACAGCCATGAAACACTGTGAAAGTCCAGTGCTCACAATCCACATGAGCACAGTACGGGCACCACAGGGGACACCCTAGGGCACTGGGGTCCTGATATTAACAAGCAGTGGACAGGGAGCAGGGAGAAAGCTGAGAGGCCACAACTGGACCAGGGAGGACAGCAGGGGAAAGCAGCCGTTTCCAGCTCCACAGGCTGCCTGCATCCCTTGGCTCACGGTCCCTTTTCCCATTTTCAATCTCTCTCTGGCACTGCTACCCCCGCCTCCCCCACTTTTTTTAAAGACCCTTGCAATTACACTGGGCTCACCCAAATAATCCCGGATAGTCTTCCCATCTCAAGATGGGAATGAATTTGTGTTTTAAGCCATTAAATTTTGGTCATATGTCATCATAGCAGCAACAGAAAACTAACACCATGGTGGCAATAAAAGGCTCATGCCACAGGCTAGGAAGAGGGAATGGAGCAGGAAGTAGAAGAACTCAGTTCAGCTTTAACCAAAAGCCAAGGGTGAACCAAATACTAATATCCTCTCCCCAGACCAGAAAGATAAATAAGATTGCTCAAGTAGTTTTTCATGGTTAAAAGTAAACCCCTAAAGCTCACTTAATATGTGTATGCATGCACATTTTCTAAGGTTTTAAACATTAACAAAATTGAACCAAGTAAGAATTTTGAACGTCCTTAAACTTCTCCAAACACACTGGTTCTCAATCATCTGAGTATTGACTTCCTGTTAAAGGTAAACTGTATCTCCATCCCAAATGACCAGGTCACTTTACTACTGGGATAGGTAAAAAAACTAGTTCATTTATCGATATGGTTCCCTTTTTCCAATTAAATTATTCTGAAGCAGAGATACTGTATATGACTACTAGTAATAGGCATTATAATCATAGCACTATCTCAGAGGAATACAGTTTTAAATGTATCTTAAAGTTATAAACATTTCTACCACCTGGCTTTATTCTTCCAAAGTATCCTTTTAGTGATAAAGTAAGTGTTACAATGATTATGGATAATAAAACTCAAGCTCGCACATGAGCGCGCGCGCGCGCACACACACACACACACACACACACACACAAACTTATTCAGGAGTATTTACCTAGTTGGCAATAAAATCAAAACTAAAATATAAATCTCTTGACTAAAGCTATCCTTACTAGATAAAGGCTAAATACATTACACGGATAAAATACCAGAAATGGAGTTTTACCACTTACCTGAGACTCATGTGCAATGCAAGATCCTGCACAAGACGATCCTGTCTGCCTGTAGAGGAGTGCTTACCCAACCAGCTGGGGAAGGTGGGAAACTGAGTCATGTACCCCCTCATTAATTCTCCAGGAAGAACACTGGCATAAATGGCCTGGGGAAAAATCAAGCGCAGGCCACGATTTAAATTCAGTACAAAGTTGCTTCCTTAGCTTCCAAGCAGTCTTTGGAAATGAAGCATCAATGTCACACATAACTAATTCCAGGGCAGTCAGGCCCTTTCCCTCTGTCTCTGATCTGTGGGTGTGGAAAACTTATTCCAGAGAAAACAACTGATTATGGTAAATGCCTTGTTCCAAAACACACATGGCCCTGAGAGAGATCATCTTGTCAACTCAGCCTCCTCAACCATCTGATCTCATGACACCGTTACCTTGTAGACGCCAATGTCAGAGAGGCCTATGCTTGCCTTTAACACAAGCTACTGATAGCACAGGTGGACCAGAGCATGAAAAACCTAACCGTTATGGAGTCAAGCAAACTGAGAAAAGTGAAAAGGGGTGTCCTTGAATATCTTCCATATCCAGGGTTTCACTTGTTAAACGCTGGAATTATACATACATTTTGTATGCTGCTTTATTCTAATAATTAATTTTTTCACATTAGTTCATCTTTACAAATAATTTCAAAGGTGGCATAATATTCTAGTCAAGAGATTTTACCATAATTCATCATTCTCCTGTTACTGAACATGGGAGAGTCTGTCCAATTTTTTGCTTTCGGAACTAATGCTTTCGGGAATATTTTTGTACATTAAGCTTTTTCTGTGTTTGAAATTATTTCTTTAAGATAAATTCTCAAAAGCACAAGTATTAGGTAAAAAAAATGAACACTTTTAAAACATGAGAAAGAATTCTTTATTTACAGAATGAGTCCTTGTTTTTTTGTTTTCAAACAATGTGTGGTAGGGTTCATCGAAGAGTAGACGCTGGAAGTCCCTTGTTTATTACTGTATAAATAATAATAATACTGTATAAATATGCAAAACAAGTACTCTTAATTATGAATGTTGACCAAATTCTATTTTGAGTAAAAAATATCAACCGAAGTAAAGTACCAATACACAGCTGCCTCTTTAGCAAGAAGAAAATGAGAATCCACATATTAGAAAGTGGCTACTGACCTCCCCTGGCTGCCGTTCAGGAAAAAGCCACTAGTAACCACCTGCGAGAGCCAAGAATGGCAAAAAAAAGAAATGTTCTTAAGATAAAACAGAGCAAATGAAACTTTTTAAAAAGTATTTGTATTGATTTCAGAGAGGAAGGGAGAGGGAGAGAGACACAGAAACATCAATGATGAGAGAGAATCATTGATCAGCTGCCTCCTGCACGCCCCCTATTGGGGATCGAGCCCACAACCTGGGCATGTGCACTTGACCGGAATCGAACCCGGGACCCTTCAGTCCACAGGCCGATGCTCTATCCACTGAGCCAAACCAGCCAGGGCGAGCAAATAAAACTTTTGACTCACATCTTAGTTATGACCCAAATCTAACGTTCCTAATTTCCATATGTCCATTTACATAAAACCATTCTGAATCACTGAAAAATAAGGCCAGATTAAGAAATAGACAATAGTGACCACAGAGTTTTGGTCTCTACCAGATGGCATTTTTGCCATAAGAGCCATAATGTTTTTCTGGTATTTCAAATAACTACAGGAGCTGACAGCTATTTTGTTCTCTTTAACTAAAGCAGAGCCTGCGTGCGCTTTAAGGAGACCACTATGCTTACCTGTGTGGGCAGGAGACTCCAGTTTTGCTTACTACGGATCTGCCGGTCCACGAGGTCACCATCACATATGCTATCTGCTGCTCTGCTTAAAAGCATCAAGTGCTTTTTTATGTCCCCCCTGCAGGACAGAAACCAGTCTGGATTACACCATTGTGTATACTCCACTCCTCTCCCTCTCGGCTGTCTGGCCTTCGCAGGGTTAGGGAGGGTACCAACTCTAACCCTCATTAGCTCCGAGCACTCACCCCGCAGCTACAGGCTTCACGTGTATGTAGTTCTCCTGGACAAAGAGGGGCGCTATTGAATAATCATGAAAAAAGAGATCGGATTTGTCCACAAGCGACATATGAGCAGTCTCCTCTCCAGCTGCAAACACCTTCCGGGCAACATCAAATGGGCCCTAAAAAGAAAGGGCCAACATCCAAATGCTGACAAGACAAAATGGTGGCAAAGATGTGGAGCAGCAGGAACTCTCATGCATGGCTTCACTTTGAAAGACAGTTTGGTGGTTTATTACAAAACTAAACATACTCTTAATCATACTATTCAGTAGTTGTACTCCTTAGTATTTACTCAAATGAATTAAAAAGTTCTATCACACAAAAACTTGCACATGAATGTTTAGAGCAGTTTTATTCATAACTGCCAAAACTTGGAAGTTGCTTTAGTAGGTGAATAAAGAAACTGTGGTACATCCAGACAACGGAATATTATTTAGCACTAAAAAGAAATGAGCTATCAAGCCATGAAAAGACATGGAGGAACCTTAAATGCATACTACCGAGTAAAAGAAGCCAATATGAAAAGGCTACACAGTATGATTCCAACTACATAATATTTCCAAAAAGGTGAAACTATGGATATAATAAAAAGATTGGTGATTTCCAGGGGGACAGGGGAGGATGAATATACAAAACAGAGGATTTTTAGTATGCTACCATGGCAGATACATGTTATTAGACATTTGTCAAAACCCACAAAATGATGTGTCAGTGTAGGTTCATCAGTTAAACAAATGTACCACTCTGATGGGGGTGTTGACAGTGGAGGAGGGTGTATGTATTTGGGGACAGGAGGTATATGGAAAATCTCTGTACTTTCTGTTCAATTTGGCTGTGAGCCTAAAATTGCTGTAAATTTTTTTATTAATATTTTTAAAAGGGGGGGGGGGAATACTGCTTAATCATTGCTCTAACTAATAAATTCTAAGCAGTGACTAGGTGAAATACAGCACAGAAATCATCGATAAGACTTCTCATTTCAGGGAGGTTATTAAACCATTAAAAACAGTTCCAGACCCATTAAAAACACGAATGAAATCCATACATCAAGGACTGTGAAAAAGCCACTTTAAAATTATTGATGCATAATTATAATTTAAAACTTCCCCTTTTCAAAATCTACAATATACATTGCTAGTCCTTGAAAAGCATTTCATTTGAATTAGAAACACTTTTAACAGCTGTCTATATCTCTTATAAATATCCAGAGGTTCTATAAGTGTGTCAAGGAACTAAGCCCAACCAGAATTAAGTAAGAAATGGAAATTTACTTTACCAGTTTGATGTCCTTTTTGGCTCTCTGAGAGTCAGCCTTGGCCTGGTCATAGGTTAGTGCCTTGCTTCGTGCACACCACATGCTCAGGTTGTGTAAAACCTAAGAGAATTGCAAATAAGACACTGTCAAGGTGGGACAAAACGCCACTCCTGCCCAGCCAGTGTGGCTCAGTGGTTGAGCATTGACCTATGAACTAGAAGGTCACGGTTCAATTCCTGGTCAGGGCACATGCCCAGGTTGCAGGCCCGATCCCCAGGAGGGGGTGTGCAGGAGGCAGCCAATCAATGATACTTCATTAATGTTTCTATCTCTCCCCTCCCCCTTCCTCTCTGAAATCAATAAAAATATATTCCACTCCCTCTCCTCAAACAGCTTTAAGGCATTAATTCAAAAGAATTATCAATTCTCATGTAATATATATTTAATTTACCTGTCTGATATCTTGATTGGATCCCAAAATTATTTCATTCATAGCTGGAGGGGGAATCTTCAAACCCTCTTTAAATGCAATTGACATCATAGCACCCTAAAATTGACAAAGGAGAATCTTCAATGATTTCTTTTTTAAACTTATATAATCAGATATTTAAAAAATATTTATCAGGTACTTTCGAAGTTGACCTTTAAATAAATAGGATAGTGTGATGGGAAAAAAATTCCAAACATCATACCTTAATCTGTTCAACCCGAGGTCTTTGAAAACGAAGATCAAAACAATAATGAACCAAAGAGCGAATCTTAGGATGATTTCTATCATTGCACATACAAATAATGGGAATTTTTGTATGTTTTATCAGGCCAATTAGTTCCTAAAAGGCAAATTTGCAACACAAAAATAATTATTTTTAAAAAAACAAATACCTCACAATATATGCATTTTCAGTTTTAAAAACCAACTCAGCAACAAGCTTTAATTGCCACAGATACCACATAATAATAATTAGTTCTTTTTATTTTTTGTGGAAAAAACACACACTAAAATCCAAGAGTAAAACCCAGCAAAGCATGGCTCAGAGGCTGAGTGTGGACCTATGAACCAGGAGGTCAAGGTTCAATTTCCGGTCAGGGCACATGCCCGGGTTGTAGGCTAGATCCCCAGTGTGGAGCCTACAACAGGCAGCAGATCAATGATTCTCTCTCATCACGGATGTTTCTATCTCTGTCTCCCTCTCCCTTCCTCTCTGAAATCATAAAAATATATTTAAAATAAATAAATAAAAACCAAGAATACAATGCTTTCATTACCTGAATTCCTCCCCTGTCCTCATTGCCTGCCATGCCGTCTACTTCATCCATGATGAGGGCGTGTTTCATGCTTACTGAAGGGGCTGCTCCACCTGGCCCATGTTGAGAAGCAGTGGGAAGGGTCAGAAACAAAGTAAGTTGTTCAAACACTGCTGCTTTATAAGCAATTATATCACACATTTGAAATTGATAACAACACATGGTACAAAATTCAAACAGTACCAGAGAATGCAGTGAGCAGAGATCCTCCCTCCCACCCTGGCCACCAAGGGCACCCAAATTCCCTCTCCAGGGCAAACAGTATGAACAGACTCTTTATATCCTTTCAGAGATATGCTGTACATGTTAAAAATGTATGCAGAAAAATATACACCTTGGTTTAATCATCCGATATGTTTTTGTGATCTGTTCTTACCTGTAGATACAGAACACCACACTTTTCAAGGCTGTTTAATAATGTTCCATTTTACACATCTATCATAATTTACTTTTCTATTAATAAAATGTGAAGTTGCTTTCAATCTTTTGCTGTTATAAATCACACTAATGAATATCCATGTGTATGTCATTTTGCATACATACAAATATTAACAGTGAACCCAAAAATTAGGATTTCTGGGTTAAAGGCAATGTGTAATTTAGAGAAATACTGCCAGATTGCTCTGCCAAGCAGTACCAATTTACACCACCTCCAGCAATGAATAAGAGTGACATTTCCCAAGCAAGTTCTTTTTAACAATGACTTTTTACCATTGAAAGTACCAAGAAATCCAGTGACCTGTAATATACCACAGGTTCTAAACATGCGCTGTGCAGTCCTAGCTGGGCATCTCATTGTCCCCTAAGCTCTGGCCATACTAGAACACAGCGCCACTTTCACACCTTCTCCCCTCCCCTACTACTCTTGTCTGAAATAACCCCTTGCACCCACAAATGAGTCTCTTTCTCATTCTTCAAGGCCCTGCAAACAAATGTTCCCCTTTTACTGGTAGTCTCCCCCAAAGCCTCAAATAGAATCACTTCTTCATGTAAAGGCCTCTGTCACCTCACTTTCTTGTCCTCTTCACAGGATTCACCTGTGAATCCGCTAAAGTCATATGCAAAATACATAAACATGTCCATGTATGCATTTTTATCACATTCTCAGAAATTTCTAAGACCTAAAATAAAGGGTAACTATTGTCCTATTAGAGTTACATCAGAGGCTTTTCTTAATTCTCATTAGCCCCAGGATTTAGCAGGGTGCCTAGTACATAGTAGCGGTTACTACACATTGAAATAAACTTTTTTTTCTTGCTTAACCAAAGAAAACTGTTCAAAAAGCCACATACTTGAATAAAAGCCTTTGATGCTGGTATTATTCAGTGACTCAGCAACAATATCCTTTAAACTGTTCTTACTCCGAGTATCACTTGCATTCAGCTCCACGTAGCTATATCCCAATTCCTAATCAAAACATTGGAAACCATTACTATCACAAGACAAATTAACATTCCCCCCTCCCTGAAAAAATAAGAGTTAAGAAGAAAGAGGGAAGAAAAAATCACGCCTTAGCTGGTTTGGCTCAATGGATAGAGCGTCGGCCTGCGGACTAAAAGGTCCCAGATTCGATTCCAGTCAAGGGCATGTACCTTGGTTGCGGGCACATCCCCAGTAGGGAGTGTGCAAGAGGCAACTGATCGATGTTTCTCTCCCATTGATGTTTCTAACTCTCTACCCCTCTCCCTTCCTGTCTGTAAAAAAATCAATAAAATATATTTTTTTTTAAAAGAAAAAAATCACATAAGGAACGAGGAGTAAAAAAAATAAAGTATGATAATAACAGACAATGAGGTTAACTATAATACACCTCACAATCATGACTTTAAAACATCATATTCATACATACCACACACACATAAACACACATTTACTTTTAAAACCTCTGCTGACAAATCACTAACCTGGAAGAATATATTCAAATAAGCAATTTTACTGTTTGCTTCTTAAAGTCCTGAAGAGAATTAAATATAACCATCCCAAGATTTCAATATCAGGTATACAATTAATCTATTATAAGATGCCAAAAATTAATTCTTGACTTCAAGATAAAAAAGTTAAATCATTATAATTGTCCTCTGAAGAAAAATCAAGTTATTATGGTTCATTTCCCAAAACTGATCATTATCTTGATCATAAAGCCTTAAAAAATGCCTAACAGAATTCCCAAAAAGGTAATGACAATAATAAAGGGAGAAAAAGAGTCATGTGTGCTACTGGAGAGACTAGGGGGAAAATATATTTCTTTGGTTTTTAATGTTTATAGAGTAGAAAATACATAGTTATTATACCTGTTAAAAATGTATGCTCTGGTCCCTACAACAAATATCAAAAGAAACCAGCAGCTTATGGGAGAGAGCGGGGAAATCCAGCAATAAATTTAAAGTAAGTTTAAAGTCCTTCATTCTATCATTCTGACACCATTTCATGTATCGTTTCATAGCATTCTGATACACATAAGCTGTGGTTTGCTTTACTGCCTTGTCTTCTCATTGTCTAGATATAGCAGCCAGAGAGACACAACAGCAAAGGCAGGGTCCTACATACCTGGGTTCACACTGGGCCACCGCCCTCCTCTCTAATAAGCCCATTTCATTTGTCACATGAAAATGGTAACAGTGCACAAAATTCTTAGGAGGGTTTATAAGATATTTGTGTCTATAAGACTTATTATCTATAAAATATTACAGTATCACCTATAATTATAATGACAAATACTTTTAAAATATGAAAATAACAAATATCCCTAAAACCAAAGCAAATTCTAAAGGTTTAATTTCAGGAAAGAATATACACAACCGGTTAAAATATATACACACCACACACATACTCACACACAAGCGCACATATCCCCTACACATGCCCACTCCGACGGTACTCTCCAACTGAACTACAAGAGAACACCCACCTGACAAACCAGAGAGGCCGTGGTTGTTTTGCCAACACCTGGAGGGCCTGAGAGCAATGCCGCTTTAAAACTAGAGCCATCATCTTTGCCGGCAAATTTACCAAACTTTGCTGTTAGAAAGAAAGAAGTTTCAGAGTGTTAGCTGTATTAGCTAATAGAATTCAGGATTAATTGTGCATGAACTTAGCATAAAGAGCAGTCCTCCAGTTTAATTCTAAATTTGCAGAATATTTTCTACAAAGTATAAACAATAGTTTCCACAGCACTTAGAAAAAGTTCTACTCCCTACATCACCTCCACCCAAAATAAAAAACTAAAACTCATTAACTTGAAAACTCTGCTTTGAAACAATACTTTTATGATTCCCTTTGCTAAAAAGCACAGGTCATGGAGTAGACTACCAGTCTCCAATCCTAACCCCAACTACCCTTAACTCCACCACTCACCAGCGGGGAGAACTTGGGAAGTATCCCTCTGGCCTGTTGCCTCCTTTAGAAAATGAGGATAACAACAGTAATGTGCCTGGGTGGATGCTGAGGGGATGAATGTGCCCAAGCAGAGCCTGCATGAACCGCAGATGCTGTGCCTTCAACTATCTTGCACAGCTCCACAGAATTCTTCCTCCCCTTATGACACGGTGCCTGACATATACAGGGTGCTCATACATACACTCACAATGACTAAGAGAGACTTGAATCTCCTGCAGGCTTGGGAAAAGGGACTATAGTTAACCTGAAGCCTTAATCTTCTCTAGGCACACAAAGCACTTATCTCCCCGCTTTAGGGTAGACTGTATGTGGCTTTGGAAAGAGAGAGCCAACTTAAATTTAACCTTGTATCATTACAATTATATTATCTGATACAAATAAAATAAATTGGCATTCTCGGCCAATGTCTAGTGACCACACACATTAATAACCCAGTCACCACTTTGACAATGACTTTACTGTGATGCTCACTAAACTTTGCTTCTTATTTCTTACACAATATCCTCCAGGGCTGCGGCTGAAGCTCAAGAAAACACTACCAATGTTTGTGATCTGAAACCTCTCCGCTCCAATAACATTTTAGGCATTAAATGTATATTGTGGTGTTCATAGTCCATGACAAATACATGGTGAACAAGCACAGAACCTAGAGAAGCTAGGACTATCAGGCCTACCAACAGCAAGGTTTTTAGGCTGCCTCATCTATAACTGTGCCTCTATTTGCACCTTTCCCCCAATCTCCTGGCACTCTTCCCAGTCCTGTTCGTATAACCTTCAGATCTTGGTACATGTACCCTTTCCCACCCAACACCCACCTTCACCTAAGTAACTCCTACTTAGTTTCCAAGTCTTAGCTTAGATACCCTTTCCTCCAGGGATGAGAGCACACATCCCCATCCCTGACTACACACCTCCATCCCCTTAACACCCTATACTTACCCCTATAACAATACTTAGCACATTACACTTTAATTGCTGACTCATATGTCTATCTCCCCCACTGACAGCTCCTTGAGGGCTGTGCTTTGTTCACAACAGCACCTCTGGAGACTAGTGCAGCACCTGGGCTCAGAGCAGGTGCTCAATAAATGCTTGCTGAGAGATGAATGAACCAACTATTATACTCCCTCACATATGTGCAGCTGAGCAATGACATGGTGACAGACACACAAAAATGAATGAAGCTGTAAATCACCGTGTTTCCTATCTTCGGATGGACTCTTGTGCCAATTTTGGAGCCAGCGTAGGAGTTTGTTGGCACAGCTCTGGTCACCTTGCTGTCCAATTATGGTCTTGAGCGAGGTTGGCTTATATTTATCCACCCAGAGCAAATTTGCCACCTTATTTTCACTGCTGTCATCAGCCAAATTCCTAGCCCAGCTGTCACCACTTGTCTCCTCGGCCACCTGCTCCTTGAAGTCCAGGCCTCTCTGAAACACACTGGTTTCCTTTTTTACTGACGTCATAGAGCTGTCCTTTTTGGGAGTCCGTTGGCTCTTTTTGGATTCTGATTCCTTCTTATTTGGACTAATTTTTCTTTTTCCTTGGTAGTTTTTTTGGGGTGTTCTCTGTAATTTGGACTTTTCTTTATTCATCTTAAAAATTGGAAAAGTGAGGGAAAAAGAAACCTGGTGAGATAAAGAATTTCTATCCTGCTCCATGTACTCCAGAGGACAATCTGATATATCCAAATAAACTACCCAAGCTGGGTCTGTCTTCACAGCGGGCCCTGCTGTTTATGACAATCATTACTTCCAAACTTTATAAAAATTAATAACACCCTGAAAAGTACCCAAATGCAATTTTTAAAAGTGAGAACTTTTTTTTTAATAACCCAATATCAGTTTGAAAAAAAACAAGGTAAAGGATTAAGATATTTTTGTTTCCGTTTTCTAACTAGTTAAAAGTTAATGCCTCCAAGCATTATGCAAAGTGAAATATGCCAATCAGAGAAATCAAACACCATATGATTTCACTCATATGTGGAATCTAATGAACAAAATAAACCAACAAACAAAATAGAAACAGACTCGTGGATAGAGAACAGACTAACAACTGTCAGAGGGGAGGAAGGTTGCAAGGCTAAGTGAAAAAGGTGAAAGATTAATTAAAGAAAAACCTCACAGACACAGACAACAGCATAGTGATTACCTGAGGGGGAGCGGGAGATGGGCGGTGGAAGTAAAGAGGTATAGGGGAGATAAATGATGATGGAAGGAGACTTGACTTGGGTGGTAAACACACAATAAAATATACAGATGATGTCTTACAGAATATACCTGAACCTATATAATTTTATTAACCAATGTCACCTCAATAAATTCAATAAAAAAAGAAAAGCCCTGGTCGGGTGGCTCAGTTGGTTGGAGCATTGTCCCATTCACCAAAGGTTTCAGGTTCGATTCCCGGTCAGGGCACATACCTAGGTTGAGGGTTCAATCCCGTGTCGGGGCACGTACAGGAGGCAACCAATTGATGTTTCTCCCTCACATTGATATTTCTCTCCCCACTCCCCACCCCCACTTCCTCTCTCTGGAAAACAATGAAAGCATGTCCTCGGGTGAGGATTAATAAAAAAAATAAAATAAAAACTTAAAAAGCTAATGCCTCCAAATAACTATATCTGGTGTCAGGTAGGGTGCAAGACTTATTGGGAGATCACTTTCTAAGTTATATAAATGTCTAACCATTATACCATACACCTGAAACTAATATTATATTAGAATGTCAACTGTAATTGAAAAACAAAATTTTTAAACAGTTAATACCTCCACAAAAACCTATACACAAAATGTTCACAGCAGCATTATTATATTATATACACATATATTATTTTATATTATACCAAAAAATGGAAATAACCCAAATGTTCACCAACTGATGAATGGATAAACAAAATGTGGTATAGCCACACAATGAAATATTAATCACCAATGAAAAGGAGTGAAGTAATGGTACATGCTTCAGCGTAGGTGAACCTTGGAAATATTATGCTAAGTGAAAGAAACGAGACACAAAGAGCTACATATTGCACGATTCCTTTCAATGAAATGTCCAGAATAGGCAAATCCATAGACACAAAAAGTAGAGTGGTGGTGGCCAGGAGGTGGACATGAGAATCAACTGCGAATGGGTACAGAGTTTCTTCAGGGAGTGATGAAATGCTCTGGAATTAGACTGTAGTGATGGTTGTTGCACAACCTTGCGAATATACTAAGATCCACTCATTTATATACTTTAAAAGGGTGAACTGTGTGGTGTGTGAATAATGTCCAAATAATAAATTCTGTGGTGTGAATAATAAAAAAGGAAAAAATTAGTGCCTCTTTACCAGTGAGTGGATACTAAAATTAGTGGGTGAATGTTTGAGGAGAAACAAGATATTAGCATAGTCTTAAAGTATCTCCCCAATACATTTATCAGTTACAGAGGGGAAATAGTCACTTTACTAGTGGAGAAACCCAACAGACATTGACTTAACCAAGTAATCAAGATTATTATCACCAAAAAAAATAACAACAAAAAAGATTATCACCACCAATTATAAGAGATATTACATGATGTGATATGATGTGCTGTGAAGGACACAATATCACTTCTGTAGTGTTCTTGCCAAAAATGCATAACCTCAAGCTAATCATAAGAAAACATCAAAAAAATGCAAATTTTTTGAAGAATGGCTCCTCCAGGAAAGACGAAAGAACTGTCATAGACTGGAGGAGACTAAGACACAACAACTAAACTCAGCGTGGAATTCCTGGAACAGAAAAAAAGACAACAGGAGGAAATGTGACGTTTGGAAAATGTGTGTGGTTTAGTTAGCAGCATGGTATCAATGCTAATTTCCTGGTTTTGATAACTGCTATGGTTATGTAAGTTGTTGGGTGTTCCCTAATATCAACACAAATCATTCCCCAAGATTTTTCTAACTGGAACAAATGGCAGACCACCTTGCACTTGAGTTACAGAGCTGGGACATTAAACTTGGCCTACTGGCACCCCTGTCTCCCACACTTGGAAAAGGCCTGTATGCATGGGAATGAACGAGGCTAACACCAGGAGAAGCAGAGACAGAAACTGAAAGGGCCCTGAGAGCACTACAGTCTCCACCAGTAATCCTACACCAGACCCACCCTGCCCATAGTTTAGGTATGTAGGCCAACACTTTCACCTTTTTGCTAAAGCTAATATGGGCTGGGTTTCTATCACAACTGAAAAAGTTCTAATTAAAATTTAATTTATCATATTGATAACTATATCATATCTTTTGAAGAACTCTTAAGCAATAACCTCTGCACAAAGTCACTGCAAGAATATGGAAAATATGGAAAGTTTAATAAGTAGATATGGTTAAGTGCAAAACACTGTCCTCTCTCTCTCCTCATATTCCCTTAAAGATAAGGAAGCCCTAGCCAGTTTTGCTCAGTGGATAGTGTCAGCCTGAGGACTGCAGGGTCTTGGGTTCGATTCTGGTCAAGGGGACATACATTGGTTGCTCGATTCCCGGACATATGCGGAAAGCAATCCATCAATGTGTCTCTCTCACATTGATGTTTCTCTCCCTCTGTCTCTCCCCCTCCTTTCCACGCTCTCTATAAAAAACAATGGAAAAATGTCTTTGGGTGAGGATTAACAACAACAAAGTTAAGGAAATGCACCAAAGAAGATATCCTGAAGCAGAGTCCACCTGCTCAAAAGGAATTAAGGTAGAATCATTTGCAGTAGAAGGGGAAGTTAATCTTTCAGCCAACAGGCCTGTAGCCACCCAAGAAACGTCTATGAAACAGGAAAGTTGCTACAAGTCAACTTAAATCAAGTTCGTTTTATACAAACCTCAGCTTCAACTGCTATTTCGTATTTAGATTTCTTGCCTGGCATAGTTCGAATCAGATCCAATAGGCCATCCTCATCGATAATTTTTGTCCCCAAAGCTGCTGCCTAGTGATTAAAAATGCAAACCATTAAAAACCTGTATTCTAACCATTACTTTCTGCCAAAAAGAAAAAAAGAGAGAGAGATCTGGGCCTCTTAATTGGTGAAAAGCCACATTTGGAAATTAGATAACACTGGAATTATTTTTTTAAACCATATTCATGGAAAAGTACCATTAAAAAGAAAGAAAACGACAGATACATCCCTAAGACTAAGTTGGTGCCTGAAGTGTCACAGCACCACTGCTCTACCCTAGAAAGGCAACGGCACTAGGGCCTAAGTCCAGCTCTCCATCCCCTCTCCCCGGACTGGCTTGGCTGGCAGACACTTTCCCCCACTGTCTCCCCTACTAACACAACTCCAGTGTGTCCATCTCCAAGTGGTAAATTATGATCAGTCTAAGGCCATCAGGAAAGTGCTCGCCCTCCAACCTTCTTTATAGTACTGAATGACCATGTGACAGCTCTGGCCAATGAGATTTAAGTGGGCTTTTACAAGAGGCATTTCTGGGGAAACTCTTGTAAGGCCAGTCACAGCTGGAATGACATCTTGCCACCGCTCCCTTCTTTCTGCCTTGAATGTGGACTTGAATGCCTAGAGCTGTAGCCATCTTGCAACACAAGGCAATATGCATAATGTTTAAGGTTAAAAAAATAAGGATAAAAGAGGTGGAAAATGGAAATAGCCTGGCTACATTACTGAGCAGCTGAACCATCCCAGCAACTGCCTATCTCTGGACTTCTTGTTACATAAGGAAATAAGCTATTTGTTTGAACAAAGGTAGGTAGAGTATTCTGTGACTTGGGAGCTAAAGACAATCCCACTTTCAGAGTTCCAATAAAAAATGTAAGTGGCATATATAAAAATACTTAGGACTGAAAAAAAAAAAGAAAGAAAACTGCATTTGCTTCTATCTTCAAATAAGCTTTAAATTGGAATACTACACTAAAAAAGTCAAATAAACACGAACTGTGGCTTCAATTGGAAGACAAAAATCCTGGGATCAAAGCCAACTCTTCCATGGAGAAGAAATAACAGGGAAGAAATTACTTCTCCGTTTTTTCTCCTCTTAACTCTGTGTAAAGGGCATTACTACAAATGCCAAAGCGTGCAGACTGTCTCATTGTGTTGAGAACACAGCAGCACCCACCTTGTCACTCTTGGACTGCCCACTATCACGACCCATGACAAGGTAGTTTGTTTTCTTGCTGACATTCCCAGTTACTTTTCCTCCATAACGTTCAATTAGAGACTTGGCTTCATCTCTTTCAATGGACTCCAGCACTCCTGTGATTACAAATATAAGGCCTTCCAAGCAATTTTCAGCTCCCTAAAAACCAAAATGTTCAAGCAGAGAGGAAATTACATGGTAGCTTTCCAAAGAAATATTTGGCATCAAAACTGCAGGAAGTTGATTTTTCTCATTTGACATCATAAATAATCTCAGCATGGAAAAATTTCCTGGAAATTTACAGCAAATAAGCAGAAACTGAAATTAAATCCTGAGAAATTCTTATGTAGGCTAATACTTAAACTTATAAAACCAGCAATGAAAAAATACATTCAATACAGTTAGCAGAGCTTATTAAAATTAGACAGTCATACTATTTTCATTATGTTTAATATTTAAGCTACTAGTGAACTAGTATAACTTTAAGTAAACATCTAGATGCAACATCCACAGAAACTTGCTGTTGTGAAGAAAGAAAAGCTTCAATTCTGAAAGCTAAACAAGTTTGAGCTCCTGTACTTGTCTCTGGCTGTTTATCCTATGATAGTAAATCTAACAACCTATATATAACTTAACAGCAAAGTATCTCTTGGCTGGAAAGATAACTTAATAATATAAAAGACACTGGCCAAAGCAAGCTGGATGGAGGAGACATTTAATCTTAATTGGAACTGTGTATAGTAATAGACATTTTTTTTATTTTTACAATGGTTCAATAAAAAGATATAACCATGCAAAATGAAAATTATGTAAACCAATCTCTTTGAATAGAGAATTAAACACAGTCTTAAAATAGGTTTGAAAAGAATCTAAACAAAATTCAAAGACTAGCACAATACAAGTTCAATCCTTCACCATCCAGGTAAAGAATCTTTTTCGAGGGGAAAAGAATAGATCTGAAGCAATTGGGAGAGAAAAGGTTAACTAACAACATCTCAAGGTCCCTTCAAGCCCTATGATTCTACGATTAAAATTATCTTGTGAACACTACAAGTACTTAAACACCTTTCAACAATTTCAAAATAACCTTATAAAATTCGACATGCAAGCCCCTCTCCCACACCTCAATCTTCTATGTCTCCTGAACTATCTATCACTCATTGTGGCTCTGGGTATCTTTTTGCCTGTCTAACACCAGCACTTCTAGCCTCGCTGCTGAACTCTTCCACTCTAGAGCTCTCACTGCAGGACCAGCAAACCACCAATATCCTCAACTCTTCTCCAACTTTGCCCCCACGGGCTTATCTTCCCTGAAACCTGACTATCCCATCCCCTAAGGACACCACTTTGCCTAAAGTCCTCTCAAGCAGAGGCTTTCACACACTTTATACAAGAGGCAAGACTGACACATATATCACAACTATCCTATATAATAAAAGGCTAATATGCAAATTGTCCCCTCGGGAGTTCGACCGATCAGAAGTTCGACCACTCGCTATGACGTGTGCTGACAACCAGGGGGTGGTGTGGAACAAAGGAAGGCCTCAGCTGGCAGCCAGGGAAGGAAGGCATGATCGGCCCTGATCACCGGCCAGGCCTAGGGACCCTACCCATGCACAAATTTAGTGCACCGGGCCTCTAGTAGGTAAATAATAATTTACTAACAGTCTCTTTCCTGAGTTAGACCATGAGTACCAGGAAGGCAGTCTTGTAATTGCTGGATGCCTCAAAGCCCAGCCCCTGGGGCTACTTGTAGCTCACTGAAATTTTTCTAAGTATCAAGCAGTGACTCATAATGGGAATAAACACCTCTATTTAGTAACTATGGTGACTGTGGCTTTTCTGTTAATTTAAATTATCAATTCTCTGCTGCTGTAAAAACATAGTGAACACATACACTGACCCACCGGCCAGAGGCCCTAACAGGATGCCATGCCTTCGCAGTGTTCTCACCTTTGGTATTTCTTTGGAGCCCAGAGCTTTGGGACCTTCTCGATTTAAGTAACTTCGATAAGCTTGATAATTAGTGCGTCTCTTTTCAGAATCTTCAGGACTTACAGACTTTAACGATAGAGAAAGAAAAGAACAAAGTCATACAAAATTTATGTAATATTAAAAATACATATTAAGCCCTAACCGGTTTGGCTCAGAGGATAGAGCATCAGCCTACGGACTGAAAGGTCCCAGGTTCGATTCCGGTCAAGGGCATGTACCTTGGTTGTGGGCACATCCCCAGTGGGAGGTGTGCAGGAGGCAGCTGATCGATATTTCTCTCGTATCGGTGTTTCTAACTCTCTATTCCTCTCCCTTCCTCTCTGTAAAAAAATCAATAAAATATATTAAAAAATAAATAAAAATACATATTAATAAATAAGCATTAGTCCTGAAATTCACACTTTTAGCTACAGAGGTACTCCCCAATTTACACATGCCTAGATTGTAAACATCTCTGCACCAGTCTCTGTCAAACCTTTCCACTCTCTCTAAAGGCACACATCTCAGGGCAGGTTAGGTGCATAAGCCAGCCCCAAGCAAAAAAATCAAAGGAGTGTATTTTATTTCAAAGATGCATGTGAATTTTACAATTCTATTTCACAATATATCCATGTAAACTGGTTACACAAGAAGACATCCTATGTTTATCCTAATGCTTTGCACTCTCCTAAAACAGCCTAAATGGCTCTATACCCCTGGGGATATTAACACTACAGTCTTGAGAATTAATGGCTTCATAGAAACAGATGGCTCAAACAAGGGGTAAACTTTACTCCAAAAAGCAGACATATTCTACACGCCACCACTCTTCCTTCTAGGTTTAATCTCTCCTATTCTATTTCAGGAGATCTTACGCTGAGTATGTCTGTCTCAGAAAATCATCGGGAAACTTTTCAAACTATATCCCTAGACTCACACTAAGTTTCTAATTCAGAGATATGGAATATGGCATCGGCATGTGTATTTGTAGGAAAAACATCCTAGATAATTCTGATTTAAAAACCACTACAAAATGGTCACTTGTTTTTCCTACTCCCTGTTTTACATTATTTTTAACTTGTAAGCTACCTCAAATACCTCTGAGAGTAAACAAAAATATTACTTCAATACAAATAAGCGATTTAATCAACAAAATAAGTAAGCTGCTTTGGTTATAAAATAAGTAAGCCATTATAGATTGGTCCTAGACCCTAACTCTACATTTTCACAGTGGTTCTCAAATGTTGGTGTGCATACATATGAGAAGCTTATTAAAATACACCTGCCCAGAGAGAGATAGAAACATCGATGAGAGAGAAACATCAACATCGATCTGCTGCCTCCTACACACCCCCCACCAGGGATCAAGCCCACAACTGGGGATGTGCCCTGACTGGGAATCGAACCGGCGAACTCCTGGTACATAGGTCAACACTCAACCACTGAGCCACACTGGCCAGGCTAGACTGAATTTATTAAATAGATGTTCTCAAAACTGCTTAAGTTCTCTCTCTAAGTCACTTCTATTTCAACTTTGAAAAATGGAGTAAAGAGGAAAATATCACTTGAAGATTTCTCTCCTTTAATAAAAACAGACAAGCCTCTGTAAATTGAACATGTTTAGAGTGCCTGAAGAAAAACATTCACCCACCAGAGAAGCATTTAGTAAAGAAAAATCTGAGACCAAAAAGTTCATTGTTCCCTTAAGCGTATTTATGAGCACTGACCACAAACAAAAAAAAGCATCTTGAAATCATCACCGTTTCACTGTTCTGCACTAAAAAATGGTAACGAGCAGTTAAAATAGGCAATATTCTACTTTTAATTCTAAGTGCCTAGAAGGCTTGAAGGAATGTGGTTTCTCATTATGAATCAAAGGGAGTTCCAAATTGGAGATGAAAACACAGAAAACTTTTAAAAACCATTTTGCATTATTTCACTGTTCTTTTTCCTTTGAAAATGATTTCAGTATCTCAACATTGTTATACAAGAGCAAAGAGAAGTACACTCAGGACAAATACAAATAATAATTATTTTAATAATAGCAAAAGCTTACATAGCACTTATTATGTGCCAGGCATTGTTCTAAATGGTTTTACATATCAATTCATTATTATCCCTATTTTACAAATGAGGAATCCAAGCAGACAAAGGGCAAGTAGCCAGACCAAGATCACACATCTGCTCAGTGGCAGCGCTATGATCTGAAACTGGCTCCGTCTCCATGTCAGAGCCACCATGTTATACTGCATTGTTTGGCCTCCAAAGTCCCAAGTTCAAACTGGCTCTATAACCCACCAGCTGGATAATCCTGTAAAAGTTACTTAAATGCTGTCATCCTGTTTACTCGTCTTTAGATTGAATAATAAAGCCCTGGCCAGTGTGGCTCAGTGGCTTAAGCGTTGTCACATGCACCAGAAGGTCACAGGTTCAATTCCAGGTAAGGGCACATACAGGAGGCAACCAATCGATGTATTTCTCTCACATCAACTCTCTCTCTCCCCCACCCTTTCTTCTAAAAGTCAATTTTTTTAAAAGCTGAATAATAAAAAAAAAAAATTTCACAAGGTTGTTGTAAAGATTACATATGTTTTAGCACCATATCTGATACACAATAACATTCAGTAAATATCGGCTAATTTAGCTATATTAGTAACCTATGACCTGCAACAGCATCTAAATAAGATGGTATCTTAAAAGTGCCATAATGACTTATAAAGTTAGAAAACTTGAAAATAATCAGACCCAGATCAACACATAACCCCAACATGATACATTTTTTGAAAATTCTACCTCTTTTTTAGCAGGAGAACTTTTGATTTTCTTAGGACTTTTTGCCTCTCCTTTCAATTCAATGGCATATTCTTTTCTTTTCAAGGACATAGGCTCTGTTTCTTTAGAAGAACTCTCTTCCTTTTTTTTCAAAAGCGTCAGCTTGGAACTAGCTGTAGGAGAAGAAGTTTCTCCTCTTTTGTGAGCTGAAGACTTGGAATGTTGCTGAGATTCTTTTGAACTTTCACATTTAATTTGTTTCTTAGGACTGCAGTTCTTTCTTTCATCCAAAAATTGATCTGTTTTTACTAGGGAAACAGAAAAGACTGTGATTGTTTTTTTTTTTGGAAAATGATACCCAATAACAAGATTATTTTTTCATTTTTCTACTGAGTAATCTTAGTAGTGCACAATGTCATAGGTGATTTCATAATGTTTACATTATGATTTTAGTTCTTCATACAGCACACTTAGTAAAAATTAAACATCTGTACCTTATTTCTTTGTATAACCAGTTCAAATTAAGGAATCTGTTTTTAAATACAAATTACTCATTAACTGAAATATGATAAACTACATCTAAGAACATGGATTTTATTCCACAGATAATCTTCAGTGGTCTGAAATTTGCCTTGAGAAAACTTTCTAAAATATGGCACATAAAAATTCTGTAATATGGTCTGAAAGCCACAAATCCTGAGAGATTTCAAGACTAAAAGTTACTATATGAACAGATTTACTTATAGGATTAAGACCATCTATCCTAGCAGATGGTTACATATCAGAACCACTAAAAAGTAAAACTTCTGGGCAGTCAGCAGGAGCTTCAGATGACCTGACAACGACCAGTCAGCTCTGAGCTGGAAGCATCTAGCTCTCTGTCTTCACACCCTGAGGTCCACAGGCTGCACTACACGTGGAGATTAACATGCAGCCAAGAGCTGTGAACTTTTCTCAAAACGATCACAGAGCAGACAGGTACTCTGACCAACTAATACCTAAATGCTTTCAAAGTACCTAAGTAGAACATGCTCCAATATTCCTATGAAATAATGTCTACTTAACAGTTATTGATAGAATGTTTAAACAAGGTTACCATAAATTTTCTTCTATAAAGATAAATATTCCAGCTTATTTTTTTCTGCTAGTATTACCTTTATAAGGACATTTATGTTTTTCTGCTTTGTTTAAATTGGCGTGGACAGATGAAAACGTTTCTCTCTCTTCTGGGTCCTTTAAAGCCTAAGAAAATTTTAAAAGTGTCAAATGTGACAAATGGTAAGAAAACTATTACAACAAAATATGTTGTTAAAATTGACCAGTTTTTAATTTAAATTTTAATTTTAAGATTAAGGGCCATCTTCCAAAGTAGAAGGACAATACAATAAATTTTCATTCATTCATCCACAAAATGTCTGGGGCAAATGAAGCATGTTTTACTTCTTTTAATTTTACAGACGAGAAAACAGATGAAAAGGATATAAAAAACATATTCTATAAAAAATTATCCCAATTTTTCCAAATTTGTAAGCCTGGAAATGAAAGCCTTATTTCTGCTTCTTTCACCTCAATTCTCGAATTGTTAGCATTATGAGGTTAAAAACTAAAATATAAACCCAAAAGACTACATGAAGAACAATAGAAAGCTCAAAAGAGAAAAAAATATCCATTCTCTTTCCACTGCTTCCTCAGAACTTCCTTTTACAAAGAGATCACAAATTGGGGTGTGTGACCCGGTTATTTTTTTTAATAGTTATAATTTGAATGTCTTTAAATGTACTGAGTAAGGCTTCTCAAATGACAAAGTCCTCATGACCCACTAGGTCATACATCTGACTGCTAAGAAATCTTTTTATATAGTAAGATATTGCTAATGATAATTATCAGAATGGGATTCAAAATAAATTAAGTCTAATTTTTTGATGATCAAGTACTTAAAAAGAAAGAATTTTGATGCTTTTAAAAATTGTCCCAAATACTCATCTTTTGAGACTGTCCTAATACAGATCTTAAAGTTAATTTAAAAATGCAAAATTATGCTTCCCAAAATGGTAATAAATATAACAATTATTAAACGTTAGGTTCCATAGGAATTTTTATAAGCATTATTCTCTGAACAAGTATATAAAACCCCTTTGTGACAGATAGTAAGCAAAGGTTGCAATTCATTATTTTGTGAAGCAAGGTTCTGGTTGGCTTTGGCTCTATCAAACTTCCTCCGGGAAGAATAAGTTCCTCAATGAGCTTCCCCAAAAACATTTTTATAAATTAAAACAATTTAGCTTCTTTTTAGAAGTTAGTCTTGGCTGTATCTTCAGAGCTTACACTAGACAGGTATGAAAGGGAACAATGATCTATGTTGTACACTCAGCGTGCAAACAGCCCAGTAAAAACGCCACCTTTTTGTTCTTAGGTTCTTCATCCAACATGGCTAACGTTCTGGCAAACTCTTCATCTTCATGCAGTTGTCTCTCCAGCTGTAAAAAAGTGTCAACAGAGTGAGTCCTTTTTTTTTTCTTTTTGTAAATGAAAGTTTTTAAATGTTTGATTCATGATACACAGAAGAAACTGGAAAACATTTTCCAGAAAGTAACTATGACATTTTTCCATTTAATATTAACAGTATCACAGGTTTGTTTCACTAAGCCATATTAGATTTCAGAACAAATATATCTAGTTTTGCAGGCAGACAGATAAATTGAACATATTTTTAAAGCCATATTTCTTACTTGTAAAGTTTGAAATCTACAATTTTTCTTTATGGTCCTAATGCAATACTTATAGATCTCTTATTTCTATTTAAACTCTAGAAAAAGCTCTAAAAATAATCTCATCCTAATAGAAAAACAATAGTCTGGAGGGCACAAAAAAGAGTGAATCAAGAAATCAAGCTCTAGCGGGTTTGGCTCAGTGAATAGAGCATCAGCCCAAGGACTGAAGGGTCCCAAGTTCGATTCCGGTCAAGGGCATGCACCTTGGTTGCAGGCTCAATCCCCAGCCCTGGTCATATCATCAGGTGAGGATTAACAAAAAATAAATAAAATATAAAAAGAAATCAAGAAAATTACACATTTTCTTTGCAAACATAAGTCATACACAAATATAACTATCAATTACTAATCCAAATGTATCTGACTTTTGAAAATTTAAGTCATCATATCAGAAGTTTTCCTAACATGCTAATGTTAGTACACAAACATTCTCACTTTCAGCAAAATGGAGCTCTTCCAGAAAAGAATGTGTAGCAGTGGAATACATTTCTCATTAGAAACTAAATAGTTTTATGTCCCTTGATAAAATGGCCTAATGTAACATCGAACAAAGGCATCCCTATATTATTCAAACATATGAAAAAAAACTCAAAATCTACCCAATCCTAAAAAGGCTTGGAAAATGGCATAAGTCTGATGAGAACACAGTAACCAAGTCTTTTCTTGTTAATAAATGAACTAAATCCAACTATGCAGAACTATAAGCCAGAGGTGCACATCAATATATTCTGTTGTCTAGTATTTCTTTACCATAACTGCACTACACATCTAATTGCTAAAATGAATATGAAAACCTTCACCATAAAAAGGTCCTTCAAACCCTAAGCCTCCAGTGGCCCTGCAAAAATTTATGGTTGAACCCATACCGTTTTTCCAAAATTTCACACTATGTAGTACACTTCTAGATTATTTAGATGAGGATTCTAGATTATTTAGATGACAGAAGAAATTTAAATACTTTCATCCAAAATTCATAATTGGTGACTATGGCATCATATGATCAAAAACCCTACATTTTATTTTATTTTTTAATACCTTTATTTACTTCGTCTCTAACAGAGCTATTCAATAACATATATTTGTTTTGAAGAGGGTTAATTTCCTAGATTAAATATGCACTAAACATGTAAATGTGACAATATTTTGAGATATGTGATGAAAAGCCCTATATTTTAATACAATGTTTAGCACAGCAGATGGTGTTTAACATACTGTCTACATACTGACTTACTGATTTAGTTATTGGACGCACACTTAACTAAAGGAATAAACAAAAAGGTGAAAGTGAGAGAAAAAATGAACTTAAGAGGGATAATCAGGAAAGATACCATCAGTCACTAACACCCTAAAAACTCTTCAACAGACTAATAAATTACCCAAACAAGATTCTGAAAAAGTGTGATAGGAATGAGAAAATAGGGAATGGTGACAGAGTACCACACCTGGTTTGGAAAGAATGGGGTAAGCCTCCAGCATTTGAGACAGATAAGAAGTCAGGTCCCTAAAAATTAACTCCACAATTCTACCTAGGCCATTTGTGCTGTCTTGAGTTGTATGGATACCTGGTTTATAGTTTGTGTAATCCAGTGTAATCAAATAAGATGGAAAGAGATTTTGAAAGCACTGTGAACTGTCAAATTAATAAAATCTGGATAAATCAGATATATTCCAAATGATCAGAATACTATTCTCTCACAACAACACGCCAAGCACATAATCAGTGATGGCACAATAGTTGAATGAGGCCATAAACAGCCCTGGTAGGTAGAGTTTACAGCCCACATATAGGAAGACATCTAGGTAGCAATTATAACAAAATCAATAGTAGCTACAATGGAGCACGACTGAGTATAAAGGATGGGTTTCTAATATAGCTTAGGGAATATGAGAAAGTGACACTTAAGCTAATAAACAGGAAGAGGGTTCAAACAGTAGGTACCAAGGTCTGACACCTCTGAGATGAATACTTACTTGGTTTCCCTGAAATACCAAACTCTCCTCATTTCCCTATTTCACTAGCCACTCTTTTTGTTTGTTTTGTTTTTAATATTTTTATTGATTTTAAAGACAAAGAAAGAGGGAGAGAGAGATAGAAACATCAATGATGAGAGGGAATCATTGATCGGCTGCCTACTGCATACCCCAGACCAGGGACCAAGCCCACAACCCAGGCATGTGCCCTGACCGAGAATTGAACTGTGACTTCCTGGTTCATAGGTAGAGGCTTAGCCACTGAGCCAAGCCAGCTGGGCTAGCCACTCTTTCTTAAATCTCCTTTGCTGGATCATCCTCCTCTACCTGATCTCTAAATATTAACAGCGCTCAATCCTGAGGTTTCTTCTCTATTAATTTTCTCTCCCCATGATCTCATTCAGTTACACAGGTTTAATTTAAGTACCATTCAAATGCTAGTGATTCCCAAATATACATCTTCAGTTTAGACCTCATCCCTGAGCTCCACATTCCACTACCCAACCACCCACTCTGCATATCCATTTGGAAGCCTATTAGGTACCTCAAACTTAACATGTCCAAAACAGAATTCTTGATTTCTCTGTACCAGTGTGTTCCTCTTAATAAATGAATATTCAGTTGCTCAAGCCCAAAAACACACAGTCTATCTTTGAATCTTCTTTTTCCCTCATACCTTATATCCAATCTATCAGCAACAACTTGAAGTTTACACCTTCAAAGCACAGATTATAACCACTTCTCACTATCTCTTCCATTACCACCCTGGTACAAGCCAACATCATCTCTCACCTACCTACTCCACCAGAACAGTGTCCAAACTGATCTGCTTTTGGTCCTGCCCCACCATGGTTTATTAGCCTCATAGCAGCCAGAATGATTTTCTTTTAAGATCTATAAATTCATGTCACATCTATTCAACACAGAGACTAAAATCCAAAGTCCTTACCATCCCAGTCTTTGGGGTAGGTACTAAAGACCTGTCGTGGCTGACAGTATTTGCTGCTGGCCATTTCTCGAACTCATCAAACTCAAACTCTCCTACCTCAGGATGCTTGCACTTGCTGTTCTGTTTAGAGGAAATCTGCCTTCGGGTAGCCAGCCCCATGGCTTGCCATTATCACTTCATTTTGTGCCCCAATATTGCTTCCTCAGAAGGGCTGTCCTGACCTCTCTACTTAAAATAGAATACTCATGCTCTTTCCAGCTGGCGCCAAGTCATGGGCATCTCTCAGGACAACTGGCAGAAGCACCACAAGATCTGGGGCAAAAGAAAACTTTGCCACAAGAAGTAAAAATATGAGCTGGGACGCCCTGCTGCCAACACTAAGATTGGCCCTCGCCGCATACACGGGGTCCACATGCGGGGAGGCAGCAATAAGTACCAAGCCTTGAGGCTGGACATGGCAACTTCTCCTGGGGCCCCGAGTGTTGTCCAAACAAGGATTACTAATGTTGCCTACAATGCATCCAACAACAAACTGGTCCGTACCAAGACCCTGGTACAGAACTTCACTGTGCTCATTGACAGCAAGCACACCCTACAGACTGGTACAAGTCCCACTCTGCACTGCCCCTGGGCCAAAAGAAGGGGGCCAAGCTGACTCCTGAGGAGGAGGAGATTTTAAACAAAAAATGATAAAAAAAAAAAAAAATTCAGAAGAAATATAATGAAAGGAAAAAGAATGCCAAAATCAGCAGTCTTCTAGAAGAGCAGTTCCAATAAGCAAGCTTTTTGCATCCATCCTTCAGTACCAGGCCAAAGTGGCCGAGCAGATGACTATGTGCTAGAGGGCAAGGAGCTGGAGTCCAAGCTGAGGAAAATCAAGGCCTGGAAATGCAAATAAATCCTCTTCCCTCCCAACTTAGCTCATGTAATAACGGTGCTTTTCTAAAAAAGAAACCCAAACTATCCCTTTAGTTCTCTTAAGAGTATGACATAATTATTTTAAACCTGGAACTGTGCCATGCACTCAATAACTGCTCAACAAATGCTTAATGAATGAATATATGGTTTATAGCTCAAGAGAGCACTATTAATTAGAAACAGATTTAGGGATCATCACCATATCCACACAATTAGAGCCACAGGGGTGGATGAGATCACCCACAGTGAAAAGAAAAGAGATATGACCAAATTAAATTGTTTTTAACTATACTCAAGGAGGCTTCCATTCAAAGAAATTTAAGCCCTAGCTGGTTTGGCTCAGTGGATAGAGCAGTGGTCGGCAAACTCATTAGTCAACAGAGCCAAATATCAACAGTACAACGATTGAAATTTCTTTTGAGAGCCAAATTTTTTAAACTTAAACTATATAGGTAGGTACATTGTTATTAACTTAATTAGGGTACTCCTAAGCTGGCCTTTGCTAAAAACGTCCTCAATCTGAGGGGTTGACCTCAGCGAACGTACCCCGACTTCTTCTAACGCCACTTCTTCAAAATAGACTCGCCCAGGCCGAAAACCGACTTCTGCGCATGGGCCATGAAGTTTCAATCGCACTGTACGTGTGCACCCGCACGTGGTATTTTGTGGAAGAGCCACAGTCAAGGGGCCAAAGAGCTGCATGTGGCTCGTGAGCCGTGGTTTGCCGACCACTGGGATAGAGCATTGGCCTGCGGACTGAAGGGTCCCAGGTTCGATTCCAGTCAAGAGCACATGCCTGGGTTTCAGGCTCACTCCCCAGTAGGGGGCGTGTAGGAGGAAGCAAATCAATTATTTTCTCATCATTGATGTTTCTAGCTCTTTCTCCCTCTCCCTTCCTCTCTGAAATCAATAAAAAAATATTTTTTAAAAAATAAATTTAATAATAAATCTGTAAATAATTATCCCCTGCTCTTATCATTTTATATAAATTTAGATGTTTATATGCTAAATTGTAACTTATTTTACACATAACTCATAATGAGGCTCAATCCATAATTAGCCTAGAACAGTGGTTCTCAACCTTCCTAATGCCGCAACCCTTTAATACAGTTCCTCATGTTGTGGTGACCCCCAGCCATAAAATTATTTTCGTTGCTACTTCATAACTGCAATTTTGCTACTGTTATGAATCGTAATGTAAATATCTGATATGCAGGATGTATTTTCATTGTTACAAATTGAACATAATTAAAGGATAGTGATTAATCACAAAAACAATATGTAATTATATATGTGTTTTCCGATGGTCTTAGGCAACCCCTGTGAAAGGGTCATTCGACCCCCAAAGGGTCGCGACCCACAGGTTGAGAACCGCTGGTCTAGAATAATCTTGATTGTTTGTCTGGATAGACTAACTAAAGTCAGAACATCAAGTTGTTAATGATATCAAAACAAAATGGCAATACCTCTGCATCTTCATCAAGTTGCAATTGTTTGGCAATGGCTTCATCATTTAATCTGGAATCATTTGCATTTTTTGAAGGCTGTATTTCAAAGAAAATCAAGCAAGATCAGCATAAAACTTAAGTTAAAAATAAGGTGTTTTTTTCTTGACTGTAGCTGATTAAATACACCAGTGAGAGTTAAGTGTATCAGTAATGAAATAGTCAGTCTCAATGCACACCAGCCAGAAAGTCATGTTCATAACTACTCAGTGACCATATCCATTTTCCTAATGAGCAAATATTCTGCAGAGATGGTTCTCACTTAATTCTATTGAAATGTTCAAGAAAAGTAACACCCCAGCTCTCCCCCGGCCAAAAAAAACAAAACAACAACAACCACTTGTAGTTTTCTTCATGGTATGACATAATAGTGAGAAGGATTACACTGTCCGATGGAGGCACTAACAAAATCAACAAACACACACCATTTGGCAGGCTTTGACTCAGGGGACTACTTTCACTATAATTTATCTGTATTCCTGTTTCGTAAATTTCCAGAAAAATGTAAATCCAACATCAACCAAAGTAGAAAATGTCAAAAGTGTAACATAGGCACATAAGTTATGTACTTAGAACCTCATTTGGGAACAAATTTATTGTCCAATTTTGTCTACTTGAGGTGAATAGAAAAATGAGTTTACATTCTAAGTATTTAAATTCTAAGAATTATAATTGTTTTGTACAATTTAAATGATCTTTTTCCACTTTCAAATATAAAAAATAGTCTAACTTCCTCATCCTCTAAAATGATGGCAATAAATTTTGTCCATAATCATAGGAAAAATTTTTATCAATAAAATATGTTGCTCTATTATGACATCCGAATTTCTCCTCTTATTAATAACAGCGAATTAACATTCCTGAACATTCTTGCTTGCATATAGAACACTCACCTCTTTTCTTTTGCTTGCCACCATCTTCTTATCTGATCTTTGGACACTAGCAGTTCCAAAATAATCAAGCACTGATGTGTGGGTAAGTTTTATTGGCGATAAAGGCTTATTCTTGGTCTTAGTGTTTTCTTCATTCTTTTTCATGTTTGATGCTCCAAGATAACTATTTGTAGATCTTCCATTCTCTTTTGATTTAGAGGCTGCCTTCTTACACATAAAGTCATCTTCTTCATCTTAAATGGAATATAACCAAATATTGTTTGATAAAACATCAACTCCAATTATATCAAGGAATCACTTCAACCAGCTTTTTTTCTTTGGTTCAGTAATTCACAAGAGAAAACAACCTTTGCTTTGGCCTAATAACAAATCCAATAAAAAAGAAAAATCTAAAAGGTAATCATGAAGACTAGGTCACTTCACAAGTTGGTGTGTAAAGCTACATATGAATGGGTCTTGTCTTCCTCTCAAGACAGAGGTAGAGGCAAGCAAAGACCACGGATGTAAAAAAAATCTAGCTTTTGCTCACACCTTGCTCACTCCCTTACTCAACTAGGAGCATCTGCTAAGGGTTTTATGTACCAGACTAGAGGCCTGGTGCACGAATTCATGCATGGGTGGGGTCTGGCCGGCCCGCCCCAATCTAGTTGTGTAGATATTTGCTTGCCTCTACCTTCTGGAAAGGCATGAGCAAAGCTAGAAGTGGCTGAGGGGGGAGCGGGGGAAGGCAGAAGGGCAAGTGGCGCACGGTGCAGTGGCAGAGGTAAGATGGCAGTGGTGCTAACTTTACGTCTTTGCAGTTAGGCAAAGTTACGCCTTGCCCCTTCTGCCCCCTCCAAGCTGCTACTCTGTCTCGATCAGCGTCGGGGTCGCTCTCCTCCTATAGGCTTCCCAGGCCCAGATTCTCCAGTGCTCGGAGACTTAGACAGGGGGAGGGACCATGGGTGGTTGGCCGGTGCAGGAGGTTGGCTGTGGTCGCACACTGACCACCAGGGGGCAGCTCCTGCATTGAGTGTATCCCCCCTGGTGGTCAGTGCGTGTCATAGCAACTGGTTGACCGGTCGTTCTGGTCATTCGGTCGTAACAGTCGCTTAGGCTTTTATATATATATATAGAATAGATGTGCTATTTCTAGGTGAATGCCATCTCAAACATGAAAGTACCTAAGATAATGTAAAAAAAATCAAAAAGGATTTAGCCTTACTTTCTAATTTTTATATTTATATTAAAATGAAACAACAAACTTTACAAAGTAAAACTCTTACAGGTTTCTGATTACTAAATGTAAAAAAGGAATCCACCATTTAAAAAGAGTGGCCCCAACCGTTTTGCCTCAATTCCAGTCCAGGGCACGAACCTCAGTTGCAGGCTCCAACCCCAGACCCAGATTGCGGCCATGAGGGAGGCAACCAATAGATGTGTCTCTCTCACATCGATGTTTCTCTCTCTCTGTCTCTCCCTCCCTTCTACTCTCTCTTAAAAAAAAAAAAATCAATGGAAAAATATCCTCGGCTGACTATTAACAACAACAAAAAAAAGCAAGAGTGTACTTACTAGATGTCTCTTGAAGATGCACATTGTCCCCTACAAGCCCATTTTTCCTAAAACTTACATCCCATCCCACCCTACCCTCCAAAGGCTTTCAATAAACAATCTTAACCTGTAACCAGAAGATTTTAATTAAAGCACTGTTTTACTTAACTTCAACTATAGTCAGTCTACCTTTAAACTTAATTAAAACTGTATCCATACCCATAGATATAGAGAACCAGTTGATGACTGCCAAAGGGAAGGGTGATGGGAATATGAAAAATTTTTTTTAATTGGAAAACTCAAAAATCCAGAATTCCAGCTTATTCTGGAAAAGCAGGAGCTCAGGGGGAAAGAGGAAGGATTCATTCACAAATCTTTCCAAGCACATCCAAGGCTTGATATACTTCCAGATTTCAGTTCAACCCTGTTAACAAGAGTTGGGAGACTAGGTTCAGTCACTCATCTATCTGTTCTCCCTACCTAACAAATCCGTCCTTCTCCACCTGTGCCAGAAGTGGAAAGATGTCTGATTCAGATCAGTACAACAGCCACATGAATCACCCGTAATGGTGCAAATAGCCATTGAGAACATAACCTGAAACTCCTTTCCTTTTCTCAAAAATAACACCATAATGAATTATCATGTTATGGAAACCTTAAAATTTATGGCTGGTCTATTTGAAACCCCTAGACTTGGTTAAGCTGTAGCATAACCAAACTAGTTAACATTCAACAACAAACTTTTCTACTTAGCAGTCAAAACAAATTATGTAAATTGCCCTTAAAAGAAGATTCAAAACAACACTGCTGATACCCTGGCTTTAATAAAAAAATAAAATAAGAAAACCACAAGACTGGGATCTGGTAAGTATAGACAACCAATACATCTCCTTAGGGAGTAAGTGCAAAATTAAAAGTATATTTAGTGTATATAAAGCTTCTAATCTTATCTGAGAGCTTATTAAATTTTATAATTTTTACTACGTTTACGTTAAGTTCCATATCTGTACTTCTGGAAAGGAGGGATTCCCTTAATGCAGAACAAAATAACTCTGTCTCTACAAAATGATAGCCCTCGACTAGTTTTTCCCCCACTTTAGAAATGTCAAAAGTACTAACATTCTATTTCCACTACTCCTAGTCATAAGCAGTATGATAGAAAACCCCAGACCTGAGTTGACCCAACAACTACTGTGTTTTCCTGTTACAAGTTTTCCTCAAGAACTTCCTTGCAATCTAAAATTCTTTATCTGTCCTGCCCGGCTGGTGTGGCTTAGTGGCTGAGCATGGAACTAAGAACCAAGAGGTCACTGTTCGATTCCTAGTCAGGGCACATGCCCAGGTTGTGGGCTCAATCCCCAGTGTAGGACGTGCAGGAGGCAGCCATTCAATGATTCTCTCTCAGCATTGATATTTCTATCTCTCTCTCCCTCTCCCCTCTTCTCTGAAACAAAAAAATAAAACATTATATCTGTCCTTAAGAACTTAATTCAGGCAGTGTCAATCACCTATTTGGTACAGCCTCAGAAAGGGAAACAATTGTATTATAGATATTTGCAATCCCTCGCTTAACCCTTTCTCCAGCAGTCTCATAAATATTTGCAGGTAATAGACTAGCATGAAATTTAGTGAGATCAGGAATTTCTAAGAACATCAGATTTAAAAGATTGTTGGCAAACGTGTAAGGATATGGGACCAACACATATGTGACAATGATAGTAAATTTGTAAAAATCTTTACGAGGACAATTTTGCAATACACGGTGTGGAAAACGTAGGTTTACAGTTGTGAGTATGCGAAACACAGTTTATTCTTGTATTATTATTTAATTATTGTATTCTTTTCTATACTAACAATTTTTTGCCCCTCCCTGTATGTACCAAAACCTTACACATGCATACCTATTAACTGGATCCAGCAATTCCATTTCTAAGATTTAGTAAAAATAAATAAATAAACAAACAAGTACACATAGATATATGTAGAAAATGCTTACCACAGCATTGGTTCATTCAAATGTATGGAAAACAGACTGCAATAGGGCAAGAAAAGATGAAGAAAAAACTAAAGGACTGACAGTTTAGATTTTTAAAAAAAGACAGCCTCAAATATAACAGGGGTACTGGAGATAGAGATAAGTTTATATTGTTTATAAAATGGGAAAACAAACAACCTAAATATCTGTTAATATGTTCAATCATATAATGGAATTCTAGGCAGCAACAGAAAATTATAATGCATAGTCACATTTACTGACATTAAGATATTTATATGTTTAAGTGACAAAAGCAGGTAACATAATGGGATGTTAAATGATATAGTTATAATCCATCTATTTATCTATCCATTTATATATACTTTTAAATTAACATTCAAAGATTTGAGAAAATAAAGTGTTAATTTTTATCACTGGATAGGGGATTATGAGTAATCTTTCATTTTTTTCTTCCTATCTTTTTTTTTCTTCTTTTTTTAAAATATATTTTATTGATTTTTTACAGAGAGGAAGGGAGAGAGATAGAGAGTTAGGAACATCAACGAGAGAGAAACATCGATCAGCTGCCTCCTGCACATCTCCCACTGGGGATGTGCCCGCAACCCAGGCACATGCCCCTGACCGGAATCGAACCTGGGACCCCTCAGTCCGCAGGCCGACGCTCCATCCACTGAGCAAAACCAGTTTCGGCTCTTCCTATCTTTTTTTTTTTTTAATCTATATATTACACTTTTCTTTTTCTTTTTAATCCCCATCTAATATTTTACAACAAATTGACTCTCTCCTAGAAACTCCCTGACCCCATAGCTTTCTGAGACAGAAAAGGTCTGGCATTGGTTTCTCCCTCCTCTTCACTTTTATTTGCTTACTTCTTTCATTATTTATCAGCATCTCTGCTCATTCTGTCACTAGAATCAGAGACTGGGACTGCATGGTACCTTTTTTATCTAATTACTATTAATAACAGTTATCATTAGTGAGCATTAAGCTACATGCCACATTCTTTATAATGCACTAGAGGCCCGGTGCACAAAAATTTGTGCACTCGGGGTGGGGGGGAGAGGGAGGGGCCCCTCAGCCCGACCTGTGCCCTCTCGCAGTCTGGGACCCCTCAGGGAATGACCACCTGCTGGCTTAGGCCCGCTCCCCGGGGGATTGGGCCTAAGATGGCAATCAGACATCCCTCTGGCAGCCCGGAAGCCCTCGGGGGATGTCCACTTGCCAGCGGGGAGCAGGCCTAAACTGCAGTCGGACATCCTTAGTGCTGCTGAGGAGGCAGGAGAGGCTCCCACCACCACCACTGTACTGGCAGCCATCAGCCTGGCTTGTGGCTGAGCAGAGCTCCTCCCATGTGAGAGCGCCCTGACCACCAGAGGGCAGCTCCTGCATTGAGCGTCTGCCCCCTGGTGGCCAGTGTGTGTCATAGTGACCAGTCATTCCCAGTC